GGCAAAGTTGGGATGAAGTCTTGGGTAGATGTGATGATTGTTAGTAACAAAAATAGACCAGTGTGTCCTTGTTGGGTCCCCTGTCTTCAAAGCTCAGATATTACCCTGACATAGAGTTGACATCCTTCTGGGATCAAGCACAGACTGGAGATCACCAACTTCTGAGCCCTGGAGCATCTAGCAACCCCTCCCCACTCACTTCTAGGGTCCCTTGCAGCTTCCCTGGCTTCCCTTGCAGCTTGCCTGGGATCCAAGGGGAGCTAAGTCCTTCGATGTTGCTCAAGCCAAAAACTGAGCCAGGAAAGTAGACTTTGAGATCCCCATAGCTTCTTGTGTGAGGTCCAACAACTCTGCTTGAGTGGGTTAGATGCTGAAGAGGTTAGGGAATGAGCTTGAGGAAGTTAGGGGGCTAAAATGATGGATTCCTCAGGGCTAGAATGACAGGTTTCCCAGCAGTCAAGCCTCCTGACCTGTAGGTCACCTAGCTCATCCCTGAGGAGGGAGGGGAGGAGGACTGCCTCTAATGCCTGTCTGTTCTTAAAAGGATTGGCTAAATTTACAGCACCTAATGCCTTTTGTCTCTGAGCAGGTGGTGGATGGAAGGATAATGAAGGGTGGAGACTCTATCTTATTGTTTCTAGGCCCATAGGGTGCCCTGTGATGTGAGTGTTAACTTTTCCTCTAGGCCTGTAGCCTGTGAGCCTCTGACTCAGAGCCAGGTAGGACCAGAGGGAGGAGGAAAGATAGGTACCTCAGCAGAAACACCTGTGCTTGGCGCTGGTTTTCTATGGAAGCTGCAGACAGCATTGGGCAAAACAAGAGATTGGGTTGTGAGGGTCTGAAGGAGGGGACGGCAGTGTAGGAAGGGTATCTTTACATCTCTAATCTTAAGCAGTCAGGCACTGAGGCTGTCGCTGCAGCATGAGTATGGCTCATGGAATGTGGTCTCAGCACACAGGCAGGGCTGTCTCTTCTCCCGGACAGACAGGTGTGCCCTTCATTCTCTCTGGGAATTGCAAGGGCCCCTAACACCTACTTCACACTATGTCAACTTCAGCCCATCCTTGCCTGCAGTCTTAGGGTAACCCCCTCCCATTGATTGCCTTTACAGCAAAATGCAGCTTCAGAGCCTTTCCTCCTACTGGCTTTTTGGTCCTCTCCTCATCCATCACCTGGTAGGCAATAGAGGCAGGACAAGGTCCCAGGGACTCACTGCAGAGACCAGCTCCTGGGATGGGCATCTCTTCGTGTTCTGTGCCTGAGTGACTGAGTTGGGTGCCCTTGGTTCTCTTCCAGGCTCTCTTCTTTTTCCTTCTTGCCTGGTCCTGGCCTTCTTGTTCACTTTGACTTCCTGTGAAGACCAGAACCCTCCTCCTCTGTGGCTCCCAGCCCAGCCTGCTACCCAGCTACATAAGGTGTTTCCATCTCCCCTCATTGTGACTTAGACGCTGAATTAGGAGCGAAAGCAGCAAAAGTCACGCCTACTGTGGTGGGAGCATCCTTCTTGCCTTGTAGATGTGGGGGACCTGCAGGTACATGCCACAAAGGATGGAACACAGCAGAATAAACTTATTTGCACACCAACATTCATAGCCGATTCTCCACAGCCAGATGTGAGAACAACCCACAGGCCAGTTAATGGAATAGTAGATGGCCAGAGTAGATACACACAATATATTATTGTAATAGAGCATCTCACCAGCTATAAAAGGGCACGAGGGTCTGCCATGTGGTAGCATGATTGACCCTTGAATGCACTGTGAAATAAAGCAATTATAGAAATATTGTATGACTCCACATAAACAAAGTACCAAGAGTAAATAAGTCATAGAGCCAGAAGGAAGGTAAGGTTAACCAGGGCCCGGGACTGGGCCTGGGGAAATATTAGTGTGCAGTGGATGAAGGGTTTCAGTTTGGGCTAATGAAAAGTTTCAGAAATGGAAATGGGTAGTAGTCATAGTTATATAACATTATGGCCATACTTAAAGCTATTGAGTTTATATTTGAAAAAAATATTCATGTATATTTTAAACACAGTGGACAAATAGTTGATGGGTGGGTTATAGGAGAATGCAGCCTGAGAGAAGGGAGAAGGGCCTGCCTGGCATCTGCCTGGGATTTGGTTGCTTTGGAGGTGAGTTTCCCAGGAGTGACTGCTCTAGAAGACAAGGATAGTACCTCTGTAAACTGTGTTCCCGAGGAAAGAGGACAAGACAGGCTGCAAGGGAGGCTACTGCGCGTCTTCTCACTACTGTAAGCAACTGGGGCCCAATCTGCTCAGGCCCACTGAATGATCACCAAGCTGCCACCTTGGGATTGTCATCAAAGACCAAAAGGTAGAACTCCATCCCTGTAGATGTCCCTGTGAGGTGCTGGACCCTTCCTCTTCCAGATCACGGGGCTCAGGTGGATCCTGTAGGTGTCTACTGTCTGAACAGCCCCAAGCAGGTGCTTGATGTCAGGTGCTGTCAGCTGTGCCTGGAGCAGATTGGACAACAGCACCTAGAATAGTAGGGGCCAAAAAGAACATGTAGATAAATAGGTGTCCAGTAGAGGGGCCATGGAATAGTCCCTTTTTCCCCGCTGAGTACTAAAATATTGCAGGATCCAACTGAATCATGATTCTTTGCCTTACCTCAGTGAGCCATGGTAGGATCATTGCCATGTCTGGTTTCCTCATAGGACATATGTCCGTGAGACTCATGTGCCTAGAGAACCCAGTAGAAGGGGCCATAGGCTGCCACAGCAGGCAACCCTACTCTCCATTCTGGGGACTCCATGTCAAGTTCATGCAGAGGCCCAGTACTGCATGTACCTAGAAGCTCTGGCTAAGATCTGAGGTCTTCAAGGAACAGTGGACACAGCATTAGATATGGACTATGTCAGCAGGTGTCTCTGCTGCAGTCCCCTCTGGATGTCGGCCCTTTCGTTGCCCTTCAGCTCAGGCTTCCTGCACAGGGGCAGGCCTTGAACTTGAGCACATCACCCTCCCCAGGCTGTACCCAGGCAGGGAGTAAAACGCACATTTGCATATATCACTCCTAGAATCAACTGCTCAATGGAAGGGTAGGGAGATAGAAAACTGAGACATGTCCTGAGGACCCACACAAGCTACCTGCACGTAAGAGGAAGAGGGGCAGGTTATGGGGTTATAGACAGTCATAGCAACCCCTGTGAACATAGGTATGTTACTTAGCCTCTCTGAGACCATCTTTTCCTTTCTCAGTAGTCTGATGATGTGAATTCATAGCTATAGGAAGATGGCGTGCGTGGGGAGGGGCATCTATGCTGAGAAGGCTGCTTCAGCCTGTGGTACAGGTGAAGTAAACATTCACATTGCTATTATTAGGAATCTCATAGTCATGCCTGAAGCCATGGCTGCATGACCCCTTTGCCTGCTAGACCACCGTGAAGCCAGAAGTTAGAGAGACCCCAGTGGGTGTCTAGGTTTTTGCTGTAGAATTCCATAAGTGGAAGAGGGTCTAGGTTTGGAAAGTAGGGACTGAAAAAGTGCCAGTAGCAGGAAAGCACCCTCCCCACACCCTGATCCTCCTCCCTCCCCCACCCCCCCACCTCCAGCAGCCGCCATCTTTATACATCTATGTGTAGAATTACCGCCCCCTTTGGGTCTTGCAGCAGTGCCTTCTGTTATCCCACAGTTCTGTAAGTCAGAGCCTGCCACCCAGCAGGTCTCACTCACTCTCTCCGGTCCACACTCATGGTCTCAGTGCTTCTGTACTACCGCTGAACACTCCACTGCTTCTTGGTTATTAGCAAATGCTGGTGATCCAGAAGAGTGCTCGGGAATGTCAGCGTCGCCTCCAGTCCTCCCGTTGAGTGCTCAGGGCCCCGCTCTCCTACCCTGAGCATCTTCACATGGCCTGTGAGGCGCCTGCCTTTGCTCTTCAGACATGCTTTGTCATTTTGCAAAAGGGCTGGTCTGGAGAAAGTCCACGTAGTTGTGTTGATAAAATGTGCTGATTGCTCAGTTGCATGGGACTTTCCTCAGGGGGAATCACAGGTCCCCAGGTGAGAAAAGAGACATAAGACAAGCTTTAATATCCTTTACCATCAAGCCCAGAGGACCCCTGTCCATGCAAGGAAGGGCTGGGGACCCTGGAAGGGAGGAGGGTTTTGGCTTTTCAGATATGGATGAATTGTGACTATTGGGGACAGAGGGCAGTGGGTAGGTTTGTGCTCTTAGAGACCAGGGTGACAATTTCGTTGGAAGAATCTGGAGCTAATCCCAGGTAGAACTGGTCATGTCTGTCAGGTTAAAGAGTGGGCCAGAGGGCTTCCGGGATGCTCACACTCTTCTGGAGAGCAGCACATGTGGCCCAGCCACAGTCACATGGTAACCTGCCAAGTTCTATCATCCTGTCAGGAAAAGGCAAACCACCACCCCCCCTTCCTATAGACTAATATAGTACATGTCCACAGCAAGGTTATAGAACTCTGCTGATAACCTGAGACCCACAGACCACAGCTATATATGTGACAGTCTAATGGCCAGAGGGGAAGAGACTCTATAGGAAGCATTTTTTGAAGGGATTGTCCCTCTTAAGGGTGTTTCTATCTGGGATGTCCAATTCTACAATCGGGGAGGGGGACCTTCTATTTTGCTCTGTGTGGATTTAATGTCAGGATTTTAAGTCAAGTTAGACAGTAGGGCTCAGGTACTGGTCTAGATTTACCATCCATTCTCCCAGGCAGTAAGCGCTAACCCAGGCACCACACAAGTCAGCGTGCTAGGCAATTAGATAAGTTACCTGTTCCTCCTCTGGCCTCAGTTTCCCTCTCATCATAGCCGGGACTCAGCATATTCTTTATGCTAACAGCTGATATTTCACTAATGTTTCTGGCGATTGGGAGACCAGATTGCTTCTAAGAGGGAAGAGTATTTCTCTAGTGGGGCATTGTCCTGGCTCCAGCAGCATCTCACGGAGGCTGTCTGTCTGTCCTCTTCCCCAGCAGCCAGCCCTGGTCCCTGAGCCGGAGGAATGGAGAACTCCTCGGCAGCATCGGCCTCCTCTGAGGCAGGAAGCAGCCGCTCCCAGGAGATCGAGGAGCTGGAGCGCTTCATTGACAGCTACGTGCTGGAGTACCAGGTGCAGGGGCTGCTGACCGACAAGACAGAGGGTGACGGCGAGAGCCAGAGGACACAGTCCCATATCTCCCAGGTGAACACTGGCCCAGGCCCAGGGGCTTAGCGAACTCAAAGGTGCCATACTAGAGACCTTAATTCTGACTATGTGTTAACCATTTCTCCTCACTCTGCTGCAGTGTGCTGATCTCACCTGACACAGCATCCAGCATCCTGGAGGAGGGGTTTAGAGACCCATCCAGGAAGCTTTTACCTCTGCTGAGTACCCTTGACCTGGGACCCATCTCTGTGACCCAACCAGATCACTGTCTCTTAGCGTACATTGATTAGCCACTACCATTTGCCGGGTCCTATTCTGTGTTTTCTATAAGCTTCTGCTCTACAGCAGCTCTGGAGATCATGGTGGGAGCTACCCATGATGCATGTCTTTGGAGAACTGTGACTTGTGACTTTCTCTGACTTCAACTGCAGACAGCTGCTGGGAGCCTAAGAAATGTGTCTTCTGTATTGCTCTACCGGATGCTGTGTGCCTTTGCACATAGACGCATGAGGCATTCGGAGAAAAACCTCAGGGTCAGCCTGTCTCAACTTGGCCTTGCAGGGGAGGTGATCTTACCTGGAAAACTGGGCTGCAATGGCTTTAGCATCCTGTCATCACATAACATCTTTGCCCAACACAGTACATCCCCAGTAGATTCTTCTGAGAGTTGCTTCCAGATTTGTTTCTAAGATGCCTGTTTTATCTTGGGTAAAGCTCCCAATATCAGACACTGTTTTCTTTTCTCTTTTCTTTCTTGAAGACAGGGTTTTTCTGTGTAGCCTTGACTGTCCTGGAACTCACTCTGTAGATCAGGTTGGCCTAGAACTCACAGAGATCCACTTGCCTCTGCCTCCCCAGTGCTCAATTTAAAGATGGCGTAGAATTCACAGAGATCCACCTGCCTCTGCCTCCCCAGTGCTCGAACTAAAGGTGTGTGCTACCACTGGCCAGAGAGGTTCATTTGTCTTTTCTGTCAAATGATATTAACCTGCTGCCTCAGGGAAGCTGAAATGTCAAGGAAGACAAGGACAGGTGCTGCCAAATCCAGAGGTGAGGAAGGGTCTTCTCTCCTGTCCAGGGTCAGCATACCTGGGGCACCTCTTAGAGCATCTCCCTTCAAGCCTGGGTAGTCAAGTAAAGAATAAGCTACTTGGATCCCTGCCTTAGAAAAAAACCAAATGTCACCACCTAGCTCACTGCCCAGTAAGAAGAAAAATCTAGTCTTCCAGTGTCTTAGTCAGGATTTGTATCCCTGCACAAAACATCTTGACCAAGAAGCAAGTTGGGGAGGAAAGGGTTTATTCAGCTTACACTTCCACATTGCTGTTCATCACCCAAGGAAGTCAGGACTGGAACTCACACAGGATAGGAGCTTGGAGGCAGGAGTGGATGCAGAGGCCATGGAGGGGTGCTGCTTACTGGCTTGCTTCCCCTGGCTTGCTCAGCTTGCTTTCTTATAGAACCCAGGACTACTAGCCCAGGGATGGCACCACCTACAAGAGGCTTTCCCACCCTTGATCACTAATTGAGAAAATACCTTACAGCTAGATCTCATGGAGGCATTTCCTCAAGGGAGGCTCCTTTCTCTGTGACAACTCCAGCTTGTGTCAAGTTGACACAAAACCAGCCAGTAGAATGAAGTGCAGACCAGGAGTCAGCCTGGAACATTGGGGTTTTTTTTCTTCAAATTTTTCTCCTTCCTCTTCTTTTAAAAATGTATTTTATATTTTATGTTTATGAGTACACTGTAGACACACCAGAAGAGGACATCAGACCCTATTACAGATGATCGAGGGCCACCATGTGATTGCTGGGAGTCGAACTCAGGACTTGTGGAAGAGCAGTCAGTGCTCTTAACCTTTGAGCCATCTCTCCAGCCCAGCCTGGGGCATCCTTGAGTAGCAGGAGTCCCCTATACCATCCCACTGGATGCTGGGGGCAATTTTCCTAAGTGTCCTTGATGTTCTAAAGCCACAAGTGTGTGAGCTCATAAGCACCTGTCCTCTGAGGGACCGGGAGATCCTGGTATTGGGAATGAGTCAAAGCCCCACCTTCGTGGAACTTCTACTCCAGTGCTGTGACCATCTCAGCTAGGAAGGCTAACACAAGCAACTGAGGAGCCAGCAGCCAGGGCTCATTTGTTTATTTTTATTTGTTGAAGCAAAGTTGGAGGGTTTTTGTTTTGGTTTGCTTTTTTATATCAGGTGGTTTAGTAGATTTAAGTGCAAGCACTAAGGGAGCCAGAGCGTGCCCTTAAAGGGACAGAATACACCCAATGCATCTCTTCTCAAGAGAGTTGCTAGTATGGAAAAATTAAAGGATTGTCAGGGTAAGGTCAGTAAAACATAGAGAAGGGGATCAGAGAGTGGTAAGGAGCTTGCGTACCAAAGGTGGGCCCAGAAGAAGAGCCAAGACCCAAATGTAAGAGGAAGAGGCTCGCGTTAAGGTTGAGAAGGGAACCATGTGAACAGGAGACACAGGGCTGAGCCTGAGTCCGGGACCCATGGATAGATGGGAGAGGAGGTGGAGCCAGGAGAGCTAGCTGGAAGGAAGCCAGGGCAGATGAGATGCCAGGATCCTGGGAAAAGGGTTTAGGAAGTGGGGGGAGGGGCGGGTAACTTTAGGGACTGCTGCTGGGACATGGAAGGGGACAGTGTCCCTGATGGAGCAACTGAGTCACTAGTGGGGAGGTCCCAGCAGAGAGGTGGATGAGGGCAGCAGCAGGAGACAAGTCAGGCTTGTTCCCGCCACTAGGAGCTCAACTGAAGGGGATGGTGATGTGGCGGCATTGCCGAGATGAGGGCCAAAGGAGTGTAGCCGGGATGGTTATAAGGTCCAGGGAATGGTCCAGGGTGAGCGGAGTGAGCAGAGGACACTGGATCTGCCCACCTCCCAGTGCCCACCCTGCCTCCACATGTGCTCATGCCACATTGCTGTGGGGGACTTCCAGTGACTTCTACCACAGGGCTTCAGCAGAGTTAGGAAGATGGTCTCAGCCAAGGTTGAAAAACAGTGGTGGGAAATCAGAAGGAAGACCAGGGAATGAGGATGGTGATGTAATCAGATCCCCAGGCAAGGGAGGGTGAAGTGGGCACCAAGGCAGGTAATAAATGTGCTAATGCAGGGGTTCTCATCCTGGGGGGTCGAGACCCCCTTCAGTGTCAACTGTCCTTTTCAGAGGGGTCGCCTAAGACCATCAGAAAACACATATATTTACATTATGACTCATAACAGTAGCAAAATTACAGTTATGAAGTAGAGGAGAGATCATTTTATGGTGGTGGGGGGGGTCACCACAACATGAGGAGCTGTTTTAAAGGGTCTGAGCATCAGGACCCTTCTGAGAACCACTTCTCTAATGGATTGGAGGCCCTAGGGACTGAAGCTTTGCTGGGGTTCTGACACTAGAGAGAGTGGGCCGGAAGTCTCAAAGAGGTGTCAGGGAGTAAAATGTTTGAAGTCAAAGATGGAGGGGGTGCAAGAATTGAGAGGAAGGGGATGAAGTGAGCCCAAGGGGGTGTGTGGGGTGAGGGAGAAGCCAGCACAGAGGCGTACAGCCCAGGATACTGGGACAGACTCTAGGATCTCCAAATGCTCATGAAAGGATGTGTGTGTGTGTGTGTGTGTGTGTGTGTGTGTGTGTGTGTCTGCCGTCCAGGAGGAATACAGTAATATGACAATGGGGAGTGACCTGCCGATCTATAAAGGACTTCAAGATGGCAGGAGTGTGTCTGAGGGCGTGAATTGATTTGTACTATTTCAGTTCTTAAACTACTTTGTTGCCGAATTAGCAATATCATGACCTGGATGAGAAAGAGGAAGTGGGAAGCCTGAATCAGAAAATTCCCAAGGAAATGTAATCCATTCGGGTTGTCTGGGGCAATTCCTTAGTTACTGTCACTTCATTGTGATGAACTGCCTGATGTCAGACACTTACAAGAAGGCTCAGTGGGTAGAGTGCTTGCCACAAACGTGTAAGGACCTGAACTTACTCCTTAGAAGCAGTGTAAAGATGGACATGGTAACATAGATCTGTAATCCTGGTACTCTTCCAGCTGTGTGACGGGGAGACAAGAGAATCTGTGGAGCTCATGGGTGGGTCAGCCTAGTGCACACAGTGGCTAGCAAGAAAAGAGAAAGCTGAGGGCAAACACTTGAGGCTAACCTCTGATAACCTCGTACATGCACAGGAGTGCGTGCATGTGTGTGTGTGTGTGTATGTGTGCGTGCATACACACTACCTCCACCACCACAGCAATGTGTCCACACTAACACATGTGAATATATACACACACACACACACAGAGAGAGAGAGAGAGAGAGAGAGAGAGAGAGAGAGAGAGAGAGAGAGAGAACTTTTTTTTTTTTAATCTAGAAGAAAAATTTACTTCATGGTTTCAGAGATCTTGGCCCATCATTGAGGGCAGGGTAGGGAAGAACAGACAGCATGAGGGACAGGAGTAGGATTGTAACAGAAAGTGCTAGGGCAAGACACACACACACACACACACACACACACACACACACACGCACCCCACCACCACACCTCCCTCCAAACAGGCCCACGGTGCTGCCACCTCCCAGTAGTCTGTGCAGAATCTGACTCCATCTGTGGACTCGGCTGTTCATTTAATCAGTGTTCTCATGATCTGTCTCTAGAAATGTCCTTACAGACACACCTGGACGTCAGGCTCTTCTGCCTGTTTCTAAATCAAATTGATTAGGGTAGAAATGCTATACCTGGAGACATCCTGAGCTGGTGTCCTTAGGCTAACACCTCAAGCTCTGTGGAACAGACAGAGTGGGGAGAGGGACAGGCAGACAGACAGATGGATGGATGGACAGAGGGAAGGGGATCTGAGCAGGTAGTAGACCGTCCACAGGCTAGCTCTGCACTTCTTCCTGCTGGTAGCTCAGACCGACCTCATTCAGATTTGGACGCCTGAATCTGAGATAGATCAGGCTAGCCAGGCCCCTGGAGGGACTTTCGATGGGTGTTTATGGTTAGCAGTCTGGGGAAAACTGCCACTCCTGAC